TAGTATCATATCACTGCATTTTCTTGCAGAAATAACGCAGAGAGAAATTGTCCGACAGACTTTGGAGCAAAGCAGGCGACTTTCCGACCGTTCGTCAGCTTGCTTTACGGGAATAGAAACATGCGGGGAGATACAATCATTACCATGGAAACCAATCTTGCCTGAGGAGGATGGGGATGGGGAGGTCAGGACAAGTGGTTGCCTTGGAAACCGCACACATCGCTCACGCTCAGAGCCCTCCCTTAGCGGGCTGACGTATAGCAAAGGGGGTCGACGACTTTAATTGGCCGAAATTCAGCCTCTGGGCTTGACACCTCCCTCCCAACACAGTTCGTGCTCTTAAAGGGGAAATAAAACACAATTTGTGAACCGGAGCTAAAAATACTTCAGCAAAGGATAAGTCAAAATGGTACAGCAATATAGGCTATGCAGACTTATTTGGTAAAATGTCGCTGACTGGCGCTCCTGTTCTAGACGTTAACAAAAAATGGAAAGAGAATTGCGCAACAGACAAACGCAGAAGGGCCACGAGAGCAGTTGTTTTTATGGGTGATACAATTCTGCAGCTAGCGCAAAACTCAAAAACTAAATGTTTGACTTAAAAACTCTCTCCCACAAGAATGTACAGATTACTTTATTATTATTAAAAAAAGAGCTGTAGGCTAATAATCCAACTTGCAATACGAGATACATTTATATTTTATTTAGGCTATTTGTCAAGAACGTCACTTTTTTTTTAAAAGCGCACTCGAAACGTGTGACCAAATGTAACAAAGCACCAACACACTTTAATAATCACTTTCTTGTGATAAAACAGAATGTTCACAAGTATCCACAGACATAAACATCTAACCGTGCAAAGCACCATCGCGTCATACCGGTAAGTTTTATCTAGGCTACTTCGATTATGAGAAATATGTTACAGATTAATGCACTTGCCTTGTGGGTTATTCATTTACGCCTTTTGAGATGTGTCAGGATATATTTTACCTCAGCAGCATTGTCAGTCACGCTAGGCTACTTGTCGTCAGATGTCTAGCTACTACAGGCTAGAACGTATGGTGGCGTCCGACCCTGTGAAATTGCATCTTGCGATTAATGTTAAGTTGATTACTTTGCCTTTAAGTTCACAAGGCATCCATCTGCCAAGCGGGGAAAGCTCCGCCCTGATATTTCACCCACTGGTCCTCCTGCCACCGGAATGCCCGCGAGTGTCCTGAGCAACGCAAATCACACTTCAAATCCCACAATGCTCCTCCTTTGATAAAAGTGCTTCAGTGACGCCTGAAGACCGGGGAATGTAGTTTTTCTCACGTTAATTTAGTATTACGCTCATTAAAAATAAAAATGATGTTTTTGAATTCTGATTATACCTGAGTTTTTTTATTTGACGACGCAGCAAGGAACAGTTAGGTGAGCCTGTACAATGATTATTAATTAAGGTACTGAATAGTGAGTGTGTTATGTCAATATTAAAGGGTATTTCTGCAATCCATGAATTACATCGTTTTTTAAAGTCAGCAATACGCATTTTAAACGTTCTTTCAACCACTACATTAGTCATACAAACACAAACCTTCATGGTAAAGGACCAATAAATAAATAAAATAACTGGGATTAGTGATTTTATTTAAATTAAAACTATTACCCATCCATGGCATTCATCGTAGCCTTAGTTATTCTAAATCAGTAAATATTACTTTCGGATACTTGCATTGTCGTTGCATGTTTTTGAAATCTTTGTTCTGACCCCACTGAAGAGTGTCATTGTATGGAGCAATCATATCTCTCATGGAAGACAATAAGAACGAGGCGATCACCTCAGCTAACAAGAAAACAGTACATCTTATATTCTCTCTGAAGCGTTTAGAAGAGAATTAATTTTCTTTCTGATGATGGAAGTTTATAGCCACTGACCTCTATCACAACTGGAGAGATACCATTGACTAATGATTCACTGTCGCTGGAGTAGTGTTTATGCGTTTTCTGTTTACCGATAGTCTATATATGAGACTATAGGACATGACAGAACGTGTTGTAAATAAATGTTTTATGTGACTGTAAAACAAAAAAACAGTTCAAATACTCTATACATTCTGGTGTTCTAGAGGAAGATGCAAGCAAATCTTTATCTGAAGTCTTTCAGATTCAGGTGAGAAATTAGAAAGTGTTTATAAGTGTATTTTTTAAGCTGTAATACAAATTTAAGGATTGTTCTCACAGCTTTTACATATGTTATCATTTGTACAGTAGATAGTTGCTTCATTTTATATTATTTTTATATTATAGATAGATAGATAGATTCTGAGGATACTGTTATGGTAATAGGGAATATATAATAGAATGGTATGGTATGACACTAAATGAGAGGTGAAGCATTTTAATTCAGCTCTATGTTTAGAGGCCCATTAGACAAAATTAGCCTGCATTAGGACTAATAGTCTACAGTCACTAAATATCTGTGTAGAATTCTGATGTGTCTCAAACTTCTTTTGGCATAGTTGGAAAGTCACAGGATATAATGCAGCTGTTCTTTCAAAGGTAGACAGCCTGCTTATTTGAAAATCTTTTAAATTACATATGGTTAATATGATGAACTACACCCGTGGTTACTCTGCTCGGACATCTGTATGAAATTGAGGAGAACTGACTTCATATATCCACCAAAAATCACCCTGAGATTAGATGATTAAAAGTACTTACAAAAAAAGAAAGGTTAGATCGGAGAAGCAGTATAGCATCATTTGCAGATGCCACTTGGTTTGATATTTTGTTTTCTAATGCAATGACATTCATACATTTTTAAAATGTCGTAAATGTCCAAATATTAATATGGAGTGGATGAATGCACTGCTGCACAAACATGTTGCATGAAAGGATGCAGCACTGGCAGATTTATTAGCTAGTCAGTATAAAGTTTTCGCCACTCAAAATCTGAATGTCTGCATTCCGGTCCGAGGCAACTATATGCATGTATTTCTTTAGTTATATCTTTTACTTATATCTTAGTTATAGCTTACCAATTAGTGCTGAATTACAGCAGTTTATTATTAAATTAGAGCTAATTTTCTAAACCTGTTCAGAAGACTACTACATATTGTTACTGTACCTCATGGATAGTTTTTCTGAAACTATTGTTGCAATGCTGCATGACAGAACTCACTGCAAAAAACATGTATCGATATCACTTCTTATACCATTGCAAACAATTTTACCTTTCTTATGAGGTAATAAGTCATAAGCTTCACTTTGAATTGTAAAAACAGCTTTATTGTTTGTACAATTTTTTTGCACATTCCATTCTTTTTTAATGTAGCTACTCTTTTGGGTGTTCCTGATTTTGGGCATCGTTAAAATGTAAGGTTTAGCACTCACTGGAGATCTGAGGGTGTGTGTGTGTGTGTGTGTGTGTGTGTGAGAGAGAGAGAGAGAGAGAGAGAGAGAGAGAGAGAGAGAGAGAGAGAGAGAGAGAGAGAGAGAGAGAGAGAGAGAGAGAGTTGATCAAGAATATCGAAATGATTCTCTTAAAAACTGCTGTGATCTGTCACCAGTGGAAATAATGAACAGTAATTAGAGAATGCAGAAAATGTTTGACATGCACAGAACCGAATCTGATATTTAGAAAATTCAAATCAATTTAACACATTTTTTTCACATTGTGCAGATGCAGACTGAAGTGTTGTAGAGAGAGCTCATTCCGATGTATTCTTCTGTAATATTATGGAGTCAAACATAAACAATTTGAGTTGAAACAATCTAAGATGATGAATTTATATGACACAGTCCTTCATGGAGGTTTACAGAATAGTTTCTGTCCTGAAACCCAGTATAGCAGTTTAACAATAGATGTCAACCATTTATTCTGAGCTCATGATATAAATATCTGTTAAATATTTAACATATTTGTAAATATCTGTTCTGAAATAAATACTCGCTAACTTTTATTTATCATCTTTTTCTTCTTTGACTCCATCTCAGACATCCAAGTTAAATCAGTGTTGTCCGCAATGTCTTTAATCAGAACTAAAATGTTCTTGCACAAAGAGTCTGAACTGCTGTATAAACCTCACTAAACTATAAAGAATCAATATTAAGAGAAACATAATACAATAATTTTAAGACTAATTAATATGTAATGCATATATTATTCTGAGCTCATGATATAAATATCTGTTAAATATTTAACATATTTGTAAATATCTGTTCTGAAATAAATACTCGCTAACTTTTATTTATCATCTTTTTCTTCTTTGACTCCATCTCAGACATCCAAGTTAAATCAGTGTTGTCCGCAATGTCTTTAATCAGAACTAAAATGTTCTTGCACAAAGAGTCTGAACTGCTGTATAAACCTCACTAAACTATAAAGAATCAATATTAGAGAAACATAATACAATAATTTTAAGACTAATTAATATGTAATGCATATATACAATACAGTTTATATTACATAGTATGTCAATTACATTTGCTGTCTTTCCGTCTGAATCATCCATTACATTCATCTTTTTCTCATATAAAAAAATCTACATTAAACATTTAGATGTATTTACATATTTATGACCAATAGTGTAACGTTTCATATGCTGGTACGGTTTGTATGTAAGTTGCAAATGAGCATAATGTTCTTAAAATATCGATTACCCAAAACAGAGAAAATTTAGTTTTAATGACCTTTTCAACGGCCAGGTTGTAATAACTCATACAGAGTATTTTTCAGTTGTGTTAAACTTACAGTGCTTAGTACTTTTTAACTTATGAAAGAATAGATTTTAGTGAATTTGTGTCAGATCCTTCAAGCAGTCTCTCCAGCACACATGACAAGAGCAGGCACTCGGATGTACAATGCGCCTCATGAGAACATTCCAGTTTGGTAAAGTCAGTTTGGAATTTGAATAGCACAGAAGAACCGCCTCTTTGTGATTGGACGAGATCAAAACCTCTGGGTGGAATTTGCTTGTCACTCAACGGTATTCTCGGCTTCTGATTGGCCGGAGGCGAAGTGGGCGGAAAGTTCTTCGCCATATATATACTATGGCAGCAAGCGCAGGCTAATGATTGCCTACGCTCACACGCTCAGGCAGAAACAACCACGTTCAATGTTTCTCCACAGAGCTGACTTAAGCCTTCGTCCCCGCACGAAATATCGTGATTCTGACTAAAAGAAAGTTTGTCCTTCGTCGGAGAGGTGGGAGAACATCACGACCCCCGACCATGATCAACACCATGGAGTGTTCAGTGGATGCACAAAGTCTCATTTCGATATCTTTAAGGAAAATCCACAACTCTCGTACGCAGAGAGGAGGAATCAAGCTGCACAAAAACCTGCTGGTCTCCTATGTACTGAGGAACGCCAGGCAAGTGTACATGAACGAGAAGTACGCCGAAATCTACAGAATGCAGCAGTACGAGGAGGTGATGACCGTCTGCAACGAGATCCAGGAGCTGAACCCTCTCGATCTGGTGGAGGACTGCGAGGAGCAGACGGGGGACTGCTGCGGCAGCGCGACCGAGTCGGCGAGCCTCTGCGGTGCGCTCCTGCCCGTCAGTCACCAGGCTCCTTCGGCGCAGCACATCCAGCCCAGCAGCGCCTGCTCGGTGCCCCTAGCTCTCCAAAGCGAGGAGGTCTGCAAAGCGCCGGACCCCTCGTTCTACCACAGCTGCTGCGCGGAGGTCTACCCCGTGTCCAACTGTGACTTTTCGCCGGTAAACAGTATGCACTGCAACAAAACTACAGTGCTCGATTTGGACACGCATGTCGTTACCACAGTAGAGAACGGGTATTTGCATCAGGACTGCTGCGCTTCGCTCCAACAGTGCTGCCAGGGCGCGCAGAGCCCGGCCAAGAAACGTAAGCTTGACTTTGAGTACTACGTGTCCGAGATCGAGGAGGTACCGGATTTTACGCCGTGCAAAAGAGCGAAATTTGAGGACTCTTCATACGCGAGCACGGAGCCCTTGGACACGTCGAACATTTCCAACCTCATCTCGATCTTCGGCTCGGGGTTTACGGGACTGGTGAGCAGACAGGCGGAATTGGAGCAAGCCTTAAACGGACAGTTCTGTAGCAAACAAGCCCTGGCGAGTTTAGGGGCTTGGACGAGAGCTATTGTAGCCTTTTGACTCTGTGGTAAATGCGAATACAGATACTTTATGAAAAAATTGTACAAAGTCTAAGACAAATTGACTTTTATTTTTGCAGCAAAGTTATTTAAGCCTTTTTATTTGGGTTTGTTTTTCGTTTCGTTTCAGTGGAGGAGGCGGACAGTGGTTGTAGCCTACCACTTGTGATGTATCCTTTAAAACAAATGTCGATAGTACAACAAGCGTTTTAAAACCGGAGCCTGCCTCTGAATACAGCTGAACAGAAACGGGGGAGGCGGATGGGTGTTGGGGGTAAATTCGCCATGCGTTCATGTCAATTACTCAGCAAGCTGTGCGGAGTTTCAGTGGGCTACAGTGACTGGGCAGATGCTGAATTTGGCAACCACTGAAAATGACTCGACTGAAACTATAGAATGTGAATTGGCCTGGCCTGCATGTAGGTTTTGTTAAGACAAAAATAATTTAATAATTAAATAAAAACTAAAACACAATCATCATCATCATAATAATAATAAAAACCTATAGAACCAAATGTGCGTCAGGAATGTCGTTTCTTTATATAACAAAACTTAAAATCACCTTATGGAAAGCTTTTTTAGCATCACGATTTCAGATTTAAATGTACATATATAGACAAACATAAAAAAAAAGAATAATAAAAATATTTGCCATTTGTCCTTCATATCTTCCCCTTTGTGACTGGGCAGATGCTGAATTTGGCAACCACTGAAAATGACTCGACTGAAACTATAGAATGTGAATTGGCCTGGTCTGCATGTAGGTTTTGTTAAGACAAAAATAATTTAATAATTAAATAAAAACTAAAACACAATCATCATCATCATCATAATAAAAACCTATAGAACCAAATGTGCGTCAGGAATGTCGTTTCTTTATATAAAAAAACTTAAAATCACCTTATGGAAAGCTTTTTTAGCGTCACGATTTCAGATTTAAATGTACATATATAGACATAAACATAAAAAAAGAATAATAAAAATATTTGCCATTTGTCCTTCATATCTTCCCCTTTGAGGTAACGAAACCTTTTATTTGAATTATATACAGCTTTAGATGAATTATAGCATGTCACATAACAGGACACTGCTGAAATACTTGAAATTTGAAAATGCTTGGAAAAATATTTGAAATTTGTGTGTATTGTGATGAGGAAAAGAAACCACAAATTGTTCAACCTTGTAGGCCTCTGTACAAGTATAAGAGTCACAGTGTTAGTGATTAATTAACTTGAAACTTAGTTGTGTTGGTTGGGAAGCAGATGGTTCCATTCAATCTCAAAAATGATTTTTATTAAATACTCTCCATGGACACTCAGAAAGCCAACTGTAAAACACTAATGATTTTGATGATGGTTCTTCTTTTGAAACTGAGACTACTATGGATCTGGTCGCAACAAATGGTTTAAGCAAATCCTTAGAATAATCCATGTAATTTTAACTTCTATATCTTAATTTAAAGCGTTGTTTGCAGCTGGCTGCTGGCATCAAGCTATAGCAGTGATCCTCAAATCTGGCTTGCGAGATCCACTCTCCTGCCGAGTTTAGCTCCAAACCTATAATCAAACAAACCTACCTGTGATTTTCTTATGATCCTGAAGACATTGATTAGCAAACTCAGGTGTGTTTGATTAGGGTTAGAGCTAAACTCTGCAGGAAAGTGGATCTCGCGAGTCAGATTTGAGGATCACTGAGCTATAGGAATGATTTTGTAACATTTAACACCCAGCGCTGCGATTCCCAAAAGCATTGTAATCCTAAGTAGATCATAGAGATCATTGGTGCCAATTGTTTCAACAATCTACTTAGGCCTGCAAAGCATTTAGGAAAAGCCGCTCAGGTCTGTTAGTTCCATATTTACCCATGTAAAACAAAAAGGCTGGATTCTTGAAAATACGGTTCATCAATCTAATGTGCTTAATAAATATTAATATAAATATTTCCGCTGGCGTAAAAATGTTCACAGATGAATTGCCCGGTTCTAATGGTAAAAAGAGTTACTGTATTTGAGTAACAAAAGCTTTGCACCAATATTTCAGTACTTTTAACATGCAGACTGTTTTTTATAATGTGCCCGCCGCTTGTGTTGGTTCTGAAGCAAACCAAAATCATTTATTTATACAGAACGAAGTTTAGAAATTAAATATACTTTACTAATGTTGCATCATACTAAACTGCTGGCACCAAATTCATTGCTTTAAATTAGCAAACAGAAGACTAATTTATTAGCTACATGTGGCGGTTTAGAAACTAAAAGGGTATTTTTTTGGCATTTTACTCATCTCATTTTCAGTTAAGTGAATATGAAAGAAACAAGCACAGCCAAAAATGTACAACTAAAGTGGTTGACAACTTATTAATGTCTTACATAGGTAAAAATGACACTTATCAAAACCATTCACAACACCACATGCCTCAGCAATCTTTGATAAATGAACAGCAAGAAGTTCACTATAAGTGACTTTTGAGACACCAATGCTCCATGAACTCACAAACTCCCACAACCCACACACACACACACATTGTTCATTGGCTTCAGATCTTTGCACACAGGAAATAGAATCCATTAAACCAAAACCAAGCCTTCAACCGTTCATCATGACAAGCTCTTTCTTTATATACACAAATAAATATAAATGCCAATCCAGATGAAAATGTATGTGCATAACTGCGTTGAGAGTGCTCACTGCAGGTGTCTAAGTAGCAGTTCAACTTCCTGCTTGCAGGGAATGGATAAATAAAACCATACAGACAAATTGCGTCACTTAAAGTGGAATATCAGAGGTGGGATTTCATATGTAGAACTAGTAGATTGTGAAGAGCAGGGCTGCTTAGATCTACCGTTCTGCAGAGTTTAGTTCAACTCTACTCAAATACTCCTGAACCTGATAATCTAGGTCTTCAGATTCACTGAAACCTTTTAGGGTTGAATGTATAAGAGCAGGTTTGGGACTAAACTCTCCAGGAAAGTAGATCTTCAGGAGTAAGACCAAGCACCTCTGGTGATGAGAATGCATATTTAGGTTTGTTAACTGGGACTGAAGCGGTTTCATCCGAAGTTGAAGTTTGGTTGTGCTCTCTGATGAGGTGCAAATTCTTTTTCTTGTCTCTCATGGTTTGACTGGCTGGATGGAGAGCAGGCTGCCAAACTTGAAATGCTGGATGACGGGGAATTTTTCTAGACACTGTGAGAGGATGACAGAGAAAGACTTTGCTAGTATCAGTCAACTTTACAGCAAGAAAATGTCTGATGCTATGGTCTCCAAATAGAATATGACTACATACAGAGGATATACTATATCCACATATACTACTGTTCAAAAGTTTGGGGTCAGAATGATTATTTTTTAATGTTTTTGAAAGAAATCTCTTATACTCAGCAAAACTGCAATTATTTGATCAAAAATAGTATTATTGTGAAATATTATTACAATTTAAAACAACTCTTTTATTTTAAATTATTATTAAATGTAATTTATTCCTGTAATGGCAAAGCTGATTTTTTTTTAGCAGCCATTACTTTAGTCTTCAGTGTCACATCGTTCAGAAATTATTCTAATACTGTGTCCTAACTACAATCGACACGACAAGATTCCAGCGACAAACAATTTGAGTGTTTGTCACAGCCAATCAAAAGCGTGTGTGGGCGGGCTTTCTCTGGAAGCGTACTGCACTCGCAACGAAATTTACGAAGTTTACAATCTAAACGAAGATTGTACAAAGTTTACAATTTAATTCATAAATATTGAACCTTTTTAACATTATTAAAAGTACATGCTGACTGACTGATACCATCTTTGTTATGAAATATGCTTGTTAGTTCGCATCGATTTCACAGTTTAACGTAACCTACATCTTTGCTTTAATTTATTTTCAAGATCTGAGGTAAACTATCTATTGTTGCTTTCAGTATGGCTTTAAATGTCATGCAGATTGATATTCAAACTCACATTAGACACTTTCAACACTGAATAAAGAACAGAATGAGTACCTGAGATTATCAATGTCATAGTTTGTATGTTGTTGCTCCAGCTGCGACATTGCAGAAATAGAAACCGTTTCTAAAATAGAAATTGCACGTGTCGCCATCACGGCTGATTGGGAAAAAAAACTCGGATTAACTTGGAAAAGATACCTTTTATCGCGTGTAGTTAGGACACAGTGTAATACACTGATCTGGTGTTTAAGAAAGATTTCTTATTATTATCAATCTTGAAAACTAGAGATGCACCGACTCCAATTTTCTTGGCCGATTCTGATTTTCTTTCTAAGACCTATAATTGACAGCATATAAAAACAAAAATCTATGCAAATGTCAATGCAAAAAGTATTTACATAATAAAAGAAATTCTTAAACATTACAATTCCCCCAATCTGGACTAAGTTACAGATTTTCTCTCACTTAAACAACTCTCAAAATAAAGTGCTCTGTGACTGGAAAGAGGAAGAAATAGTTAACTTAAAATGTGTTGCTGTATGTAACAATACAGATGTCATTTCCCACTATGCTTATAAATGGTCATTTTTTTCCCCCTAACCTTATTAAACGTGTCATCTTTCACATCAAATTCTTACTTTGTTTCAATTAATTCAGTTAGAATAATAAGAAACTCTAGAGTTATTACAGAATCAGAATGAGCTTTATTGCCAGGTATGTTTACACATACGAGGAATTTGTTTAAGTGACAGAAGCTCCACAGTGCAACAGAAAGGCAGTGACGAGACTAGGATGCAGATAACCATTCAAATTAAATTAGCATTAACAAACTCTATCTTTCCACTGCTGATGAGTGTCGTGTTGATATTGATATTCGGGTAAACATCATGGCCGTATAATGATCTAAATCATATTTTGTAAATATCTTCTTTTTTTTCTACCGCAGTATGCATCTATACATTTCTGGGAGTTACTTTGTGTGTGCGGTCTCTCTCACACACTCACTCAGGCTGTGCAAGCCTCATCTGGCACGACATAAATACATTATCAGTCGCCGTTTACACTGAATGCAATTAAAATTAGAATCATTCTCACGCGAAAGGACATGTTTTCACGCGACTGTGAGTGTGCACGTGGCTGTGCAATAAAAGGATCGGCTCGGAATCGGCAATACGTGAGACTGACGGGCCGGTCACTGATCCGGGCCGGTCATGCGAAAAATCGGCCGATCACTGGCCGGTCAATCAGTGCATCTCTATTGAAAACAGTTGTGCTGCTTAGTATTTTAATGGAAAGCTTTTCAGGATTTTTTTAATAAACAGAACATTCAAAAGAACAGCATTTATTTGAAATAGAAAACTTTTGTAATGCTTTAAATGTCTCGACTGTCGCTTCTGATCAATTTAATGCATCCATGCTGAATAACAGTCTGTGGAAAGCTCTTGAAGTGTATAGGATCCTCAAACTACACAAGGCCAATGAAGACGAGAAGCAAGGGGCTCGCAGTATGTATTTCACTGCTAAAAAGTAAAATTGAGACAAAAGCACATTGAAATGTTGCTCGCTTTCGGAATAGAATGTTTATTAGTATATTTCTTGTTAGTTGTGATAAAACAAGGTTTAGTGTACTAACTACTGATGTACCATTTACACACTCTATATAAGGAGTCACTGCCACACACCAAGTTTACTCCTGACATTTAAAAGTGTTTAAAATACCATGATACTTACTTCCGCTTTATACATTCGTATGAGACCTTGATTGACTTTGGACCAAGAAGGAACAGCGCTGATGTTCCAAAGCTGATTCGAGTGTTCGGCAAAAGGGCCTGTTTTCATCTAAAAGAGGAAAAATACGTAGTGATTAAGAAGATGATAGTAAACTTAAGATATACTGTGCAATCAGTATGGATTTAATGGAGCAATTTGAAACCTAACAATTCTACTTTGAATAAGATATTTCACTTTTAATTGTGGTGGAAAGTTGCTAAGAAAAAATTTGATTTTATTCAGAGAAAATAATAAATTCTTATGTTTGTGCTGACCACAGATTAGATCTGTCAAATACCAATACAACAATCGTTATGAAAGTGGTTCTTCAAATTAGTTGTAGAAACGTAAAGGTTACTAGAAAACAAATAAACAAACAAACGAACAGAATTTAGCACTACTATTAGCAAAATAGTATAAACACTACTAAACTAAAACAAACATAAAGTTACTGAAAATCAAAGTTTGTAGAGTTTATACAATAAATAATGTTTCTGACTGCAGAGGAAATCAAAATGCACTGCTGTTCAAAAGTTTACGGTGGATACGATTGTTTTCATATTTTTGAAAAATCTATGTTCACCAAAGCTGCATTTATTTGATCAAAAATACAGTAACATTTTTGTGAAATATTATTACAATCTTAAAAAGCCATTTTCAATTTTTTATATATTTTAAAATAAAATTTAGTCCTGTGATTGCAAGGCTGAATTGTCGGTAGTCATTACTCTAGTGTTTAGTGTCACATGACCCTTCAGAAATCATTTTAGCATGCTGAAACCGTGATACATGTTTTTGTTTTCAGGATTCTTTGATGAATAGTAATTTCAAAAGAACAGAATTTATTTAAAATAACTAACATTATAAATGTCTTAACTGACAGTTATGCATCTATTGCATCCCTGCTAAATAAAAGTATTCACTCTTTTTAAAAAAATATTACTGACCCCAAACTTTTGATTGGTAGTGTGTGTGTGAAGTAAATAAACATAATAAAATAATAACATTATCAAAAGATTATTAACTCTTCTGTAGTATTTGTAATTTGACAGTCATTATCAATTCACTGTACTATGAAGTCTATTCATGAGAGTTTATGAGAGAGAGGGGCTTGTGGGCTGCCCTTGGGAAAGAGCACTTTATGAATGGCAGTGCTGTGTAGCTTTACTCTATACACACACACACACACACGCACTGCTCTCGTCAAGCCAGACTTTCCAGAGACCTTCTAGCCCCACAAAGAGGAATGGAGAGAAGGAAAGGGAGGAGAGAAAGAGAAAGAGACAGAGGAAAGAGAAAGAGAAAGGAGGGGGTGGGCCCTAGGGGCCTTAGGAGTGATTCACAACAACGTGCAGCGAAGGAAGGAAATGACTCATGTGAGTGGAGTCCAAACACAACTTCCCTGAGAGAAAGAGAGTTTTAAACTATATATTGTAAGTATTTACATGAATGGAACTTCTGAGTTTTTGTTTGTGTGTGATCTAAATTTCATCCTCCCAACAAAATAAAAATGAAAGGAAAAATGGTCTTTCCACGAGCAGACGCCATGAGATGACACGCACCTCATTAATGAATTTAATGCACTCCAGAAACATGTAGTCTTGGTGGTACTCGTTTACAACCTTCTCCTCCACAAAGTGTCTGGGCTCCAGGGTTGGGTGGTCTACACACAACACATGAACAAACATACTTCAGTTACACAGTGTGACCACTAGGTGTCTCTATGTTAGTCACTGCAAACAACAATGAACCTGAATTTAGCCGTTAAATTTTAAGGTATACTAAAACTTTTAAAACCTGTAATAAAACTGAAATTAAATGTAAAAATTAGATAGAAACTTACATGAAATTGGACATTTACAGAAACTGAAGTCTATGTAATAAAATTACTAAAATTGACAAATATTAAAGCTAAATAGAAATACAAACAAAAATCATAAAAACAACAAAAGCACATAGAATTACTAAAACGTAAACTAAATATTATAATAGTATCTAAATAATATGAAAATAACACTGTCTAGATCTAACAAAAAGTTGAGCTTGCTGTTGTTAAAGACTAAAAAAGGAGGCATATCCAGGCCAGGACACATTATCAATAAAATGGGCAACAAAGAAGGAGTCGTTACCTATAAGCTGTGAGCTCCCCCATATGAAAGGAAGGAATTGAAAGTCGTCAAGACCCCACACACCCTGACTCCCTGCCGGCTCCATCCTATACGTCTTCTGCAGTTTGTGCATCACTCGCAGATACCTACGCCAATAAGATCATAATGCTTAATGCAAATGAGTTCTTCACAGTTTTAGACCATCAACGACCATGCATTAGTGTGCAGTAAAGTGCAGACTTGCTGGAAGTTACAGATTTAAAGTATTCAAAATAAGAAGTCAAGCAATAAGATACACTAACTTGTCAAAAACTTTAAATATGATGGCCAGCTGGTCCTCCATGCGCAGAGCTCCCACCTTACAAAGACAGCAGAGGAACACAGCAAATGCCGCCTCATGACCTGCACACAGAAACATGTTATTTCTTATGCTAAATAATGCAACCAGCGGTTCCTTACATGGCTGAAGTGGTTCTACAGCACCACAGCATTTTACCTGATTGGTGAGCTTATAGTCTGAATTGGATGTGATGAGATAAAATGGCACTGTACCACAAAATAATGGCAAGGCAATTCTATTTGCATCTTCATTGCTGGCTACACTCAAAAAATATATATACAGCATGAGCGGTGTAATTTAATTAATCTCTCACGAACGCTTTCAGTGTTATCAGTGTGAATCATGTCAGACTTTATATGAAACAAGAACTGTTTAGTAATTGTATTTTTTAATTAGTAATTTGTAATCCTAAATCTGTATCTGAATCGTGTTAAGATCTCAAAAGCGTCCAAATGGTTTGTGTTTCAACAGCACCCTCTAGTGATTATCTAGAAGAACAACATTAAATACATTGATATTTGTATATAATGGACCCTTTTCACATTTCCAGAGTTCTCTGAATGTCATAGTTTGGTAAACTTCTACAGTGGTAAACAGAAACTACAGCTAATATAATTTAGTGCCTCTATGACTTTACAAAAGAGGAAAAAAATATTGAGAGATCGATTACATTGGTCAGAAGAGAGATGTCAAATTTGCCATCACTCCCTCAGCCGCTGTATTAGAAACACTCATGCAACTGTGTTAAATAGTACAGTTAAAAGTATAGTGTTATAAATACAACATTTTTTAAAAATTAAAATACAAAAAACTTAACTGTGAAAATGCACCATCACAGTCTGTAAAAGGAGTCCATATAGCTGATGTTTTGAAAGTAAAAATCTAAAAGACTAGTTCATGTTATGTCTTTATTATTCTCTCTGATGTGACAGTTGAATTTATTAATGAGTGATAGATAAAAGTGTGAAAAGTTATCATTTCTCTTCAAAGACAACTATGGAAAAACACACATGCACAAACATATAAGAAATACAATGAACACTTATATTTGTCTTTCCCCACACAGACCTGTGCCATAGTCAATCCTGGTGGAGTTGCCCACAGCCTCTTTCAGGTAGACCGCTATCTCTGGAGCAGCATCATGACGCTCTGATGGCAGAATGGCTGTGACCAGAGCCTCTGCTTCCTGCACACACAAAACACTGTTACAGCATTTCACCTTATACGAACAGCACAGAAATGACACATTGCTATCAAAAAATATTCACCTTAACCAATTCTCTCAATCAAATACTGCACTAAAAAATTTTTTTTTTAATTTGAAGAAACACAACAGAAGAAGAAATAATCAAATGGATGGTGAATATTTTCTGAAGGCACTGTATGCTTAAAGTTAGTAGCAATACTTGGCCAAGAATTGATGCCAAAGCTAATTAAACCAGTATAAAGGTAAACAATGGTCATATACATATACAGGCACTCACCTGGTCTAGTTTAGCATACCATGTGCGGTAAGCTTTATTGCCGAAGCGAGAAGGCTGGTCGATTGGTGGCGTCTCATCGATCCAGCGATCTAATGTTGCCAACATAGCAAGCAACTTCTCCACTGTCTAATAGTAAAGAAAAGCATGCAAGCATATTATTATGAGCTGATCCATGAAAATGCATTATTGTGATCAAATCATATGTACCAACTGCTTCATCTGTTACATACAGACCAACATATAGCAGTACAGAGAAAAGCAGGACAGTGACCCACCTCAGACACCTGGTATTCACATGTAAGTTTCTTTCTCTTCACACCCTCATTCAGGGTCAGAATGAATCCCATGTAGTCTGCATATGCCTACTTACACAAAACAGAAACATGCTCAAATGCAAGCAAAATAAGGTTTAATGACTTTTAAGGGAGATGTTAGCAAGTAATATATATTTATTAAAAAAATACCAATAAAATTATTATTGTTGATTGAATTATTTAATTAATTATTATTATTATAATTATGCCTTTGCAAAAAAAAAAAAGTTGTGATTTGTTTTACTGAAATTTTGGGTTGTGTGATTTCAACAAGGCTGCCCTCAATCTAGAATAAAACAGCTCTTTAGGCCAGAAATTTTAATTTCTGTATTTACACATTTCTAATGAGGAAAATTTATTTTGCGACTAAACTTCTTATTTGGTTCGCACAAGCATATAATTTGGTCGGAAATTTTTTTTGCTACAACATGGGATTAATCAATGCATGCTAATGAACTTTTATCATAGTTATATGGTAATGAAAGTGTTCAACATTCAACCCCATTCTTTTTCATCAGTATTATTTCTGTGTTTGTGAACGGGAATTCCTCTTTTGCTGTGTTATAAGCTGGACTTTGGATGCTTTCACTTTCACATCACGAATTTGCGATCTTGGTGTCACGACTAAAACAAAAGATTGATTCATTGTTATTCTTAATTAAAAAGCACAACAACAACAAAAACAGTAGGCTATAACGACAAACTAGCTTACATAACGTTTATTAACAAAAACGAATAAGATGAGGCATGGCATACACCACATGCTATTTTATATACCGACTAATAAATTACAGAATGTTTAGCAAACACTGAGGAATCAAATAGCCTAAATAAAAAACAAAAAAAAATTTAAGAAACAGCAAAGATAACAAGCTTTTTAAAATCAAAAATAAAAGTACAACTAAACTGGCTGTCGGTACCAGGACTTGCATGTTTTTTTTCCCCCACAAGAATACCAACATGTTCACCTTCTCTGGTTTAAGAAGCGGTCTTTTACATCACTTTAGTGTGAAAAACTAATCCTCCGTCTGCCATCATTTCCTCACTTTTTGCGTCCTTTTTGCCGTGCGCTGCGCACACCTGAAGCGCTCGTACTGAAAAGCGCCTCTCTTCACGTGATCAGTGAAACTGATTCCTGCTACAATGTGCCGCAACTCTGCAGCACACTGTATGGAGCAGATATTTTGTTTGAAGCAGCGCAGACCATGCACTCGCACAAATGCGTCCACGTCAAATTTTAACTCGCACATTCTCAAATAATGGTCGCAGTCTAGAGCCCTTCTATCATTATCTATAAACTCCAGAGATACTGAGAAAAGAGACTGGTAATGAGCTATTTTTTTCATCTCTCAAAGTAGCAGATAAACTGCTCTTAAGTGGGTTTAACCACATACCTGTGATCTTTTCCATTTGCCCATATCAGGCACCATGCTGATCTCCTTCTTTGGCACCATGAAGCTGAAACTGACAGGATTGGGAGGCTTGTCATCCTCATGGGAGGAGCCTATGCAAAAGACAAAAAATATGATGGACAAATCCAATAAATCCATAATAATTGATCCAGACCACAAAAAATACCAATACCAATTATCATCAAAACATCAGGTTATAATAATACAAAAGGTTATAATTCCCAGCATTTATATGGTAATCTGACAGAAAGGATTGAAGAAGTAATAGCAGTCTCACACATCTCACCTAACGTATCTACTAATGTTAATTACACAGTGGCAGAATTTGTATTTCTTGTGGGTTGGTAAGAGCACTTCATGGCTTTGAGTGGCAATGAACACAACATTACAGTGTGTGTTTATTAAGAGCTGGGGTACAAATAAAGTTTTAAAAGTTATTAAAAATATCACAAAAATGTAACGATGTCTAAACACAACATTCTGTGGCTTGACTTTTTTTTTTGGCATACCAACAGACTTTAATTTTAATTTGTTTTAATACATATATTCCTACGAATAGTGGGAAGAATAAGGGGCCAGTTGCAACAAATCACCCTTATAATAATTCCCTTACACAAAGGCCAACGATAATATAAAAGGTAGTCTGAGGGTGTACCCAAACCTGAAAGACTTCATTTGGTTCTGATCAGGAAATATGAACCTACAACACTGTCCTAAAGACACAATTTTCCTACTTCTCTTAACAAAAACAACATCTCATTTATATGCAAAGGTAGTTTCCAGAATATACTGTCAATGGTAAATTATCTGAAAATCGTTCTTTTCTTTTTTTTTTTCAAAAACTTTCCAACATCTCATTATACATAAAAATGTCAGAATATATCAACATGCTACACTAGAACTGACAATTTCATTTGTTCAAGAGGCTTGCCCAACTAAGTTTAAAACTAAATGTGTTCAACCGCTATGTCCATCACTCTCACTAAAATATATTTTAAACAGCATTGTAAGTACATTAATATTGCAAATACATATTAATATTGGGTCATTTGTTCGCAGAGAAGGCGTTATAAGCTATATATTCGCCACGGCGCAGAGCTGTCAGACTCTCATCGATTCATTACGTTACATGAGGCGCGGTGGCTGAGCTCACAATTAAGCGTTTTTCCTGCACATATGCACATCCCTTTCACCCTTTCAGGTGTTGAACTACAGCATATATAATCTGCAGATATCACTGGCATCTTCGCTTTTGAATTATACGTGTATAAATGAAGGATTGATTGATGTGAGTTACCTATCGGCTGCTCAGACTCCGCCATGTTTGCTGTGTGAACATGAAAACACGACCCTTCAACTCTCTTCTTCTTCTTCTTCTTCTTTGGAATTGTTTGGCGTATTCCGCACCATAGGCACATACCGCCACCAACTGTTTCTAATCATACATGGATGATAGTCCCGCCTCCACTTCAACTCTCACCCGCAGTTTCGCGTAAAATGTAAAAAAAAACCTTGATCAGCGAATGTAACTTGACGTGAGAAAATGTAACTGTTTTATTAACAAGAACAAATTACATATATTTTCCAAATATTATATATAATATAAACAATAAACATTATACATTATATAAACAATTATACACTAGAGGGGCTGTATACAAATACACATTTATAGAAAAATATGAAAGCGTTCACACACTTTCACCGTTTTAATTGCTTTTTGTGTCATAGAAAATCGTACAGTATCAATATAATGCTTAATTTCCTTCCTAAAATAAAAAAGTTTAATTTATTTGGCAGGAGAACATACATTTGTGACTGTGAGAAAATGTTACTGCATCTATTGTATGATTTGTAAACATGCGTAATATGTAAATGTAGTCTTTTATTTCACAATTTCAATTTTAGAAATCGAAGGACGTATTCTTAACTTAATTATTATCAGTCATTTTTTTTTTTATTTAGAAATTATTATGTTTGTCATTTGTGACGTTTCATTATTTAGTAAGTGCATGCGTTATTTAAGCATATTATAGTGTTGCGTTGTCGCATACAATTACAGGAAAGTAAAAGCAGAGTTCATGGAAATCTTAGTACAATCTTATGAGTTTCTTGTACACTTTAATTTTCCTGTGACTCCCGAGGAATTCTCTCTCGTTTTCTCCGCAATTAATTCGGCTATAGTTTCCTTATTTAAAGATGTGATATTGGCTGATATGCCCATAGTCAATCTAATTGATACAATATGTGGTCAAATGTGTTTTTCACAGACTAAAAATAACAAGTCTATTCGTTGCTTGCTCTATTGCTTATTGGACTAAATTTGTTGGAAATCCTAAGCATTTGATTATTGTCTCACAAGTTCTTTGTTACAAACAAGATAAAAGAAATCTGTTTCAAAATATTTCATAAATTCTATCCTGTTAAACATTTTCTCAGTAAGTTTAAGAAGGATATTGATGTTAATTGCTCTTTTTGCTCGTTGCACTTGGAAACTGTACCCCACATCTGGCACTGTAGTTATGTTAAAAAGTTATGGTATGATGTCTCTATGTTTATCAAAGAAAAGGTACTCTTTCATTTTAATTTGCATTTCGAAAATGTAGTTTTTGGATATTTTAAGTATGATAATGTAAATAACGAAGTTTTTGTTATTGATCTATTTATTTTGTTGGTTAAGTTTCACATTCATAAGTGTAAATTTTCTAACAAAAAACCCTGTTTTACAGTGTTTTTTTAAAGAGTTGGAAAATTACTTGTGTACTATTCAATATAGTACTAATAGAAAGGCAATTAAAACTGTCAGTTTGTTTTCTGTCTTCAAAATCTTTGGGTAATGTAAAGGTCATGCATGTCTCTGATTGTGTGTGTGTGTGTGTGTGTGTGTATATATGTATGTATATATATATATTTTTTTTCTTTTATTCTTTGTTACTCTGGCTTTGTCTTGTGTTGTATATGTCGTTTAAAGCATAAAAAAAAAATCTTAGTTCAATGTTCATTTGGGAGGAGAAAAGGTATTGGGATATTTAATTCTGGACCTTGGAGTCTAATTTGGATTATAAATGTGGAATTTAGTTAATAAATAGATTGAAGGCTTTTTTTTTCATCAAGATGACTTTCAGATTATCATTGAGAAGCAGAATGAAGACGCAAAAGGGGCTGGGCTTGGCGTGTGTTTGTGACTCGAGCGCCGTCTAGCGGTGAAGCGCAGCAGTGCAGCAGCGATGGCGCTCGTGGGATCTGCCTTCAGTGGACTCTGACCGAACTGGTCGTTTCTGTCTCTCCTCTCAGGACTTGATTTGGGGGCGTTTTAGTGAACTTCAGTAATGTTGGGCATTCTTGCCAGGACGATGGTGAGTAACCATTACATATGGCCGGGTTTTTAAACATGGTCGAATTTTTTTATTTGACACAAACAAGGGTAGCTGCCTGACATTCATGTTGTTTATGGTTTAGATAGCGGTAGTACTAAGGACAGTAGGAAGTGCCGATACAGTTCATGGCAATGATAGAAACAATGTTCACTGACAGTTGCTTAAATACTTAAGGCAGGTACCTAACACATCGTGTCAATGTGTAAATGGTCTTTAGTTTTTTAATGACAGCGCAAGAATCTTGTTACACGTTGCATTACTGCCAGTCATGTGTTGTATATGTATTACAGGTAACATTTCCAGTTATTTATAAATGTTGGACTGTATTAGCTTGTTAATGTGCACTAAATTATCAGGACTAATTGCACTACTGTATACTAATATAATAATACCTTAGACCAATGCCAAAGTGTCATATTATCTATTTCGAAGGAGAAACTGATAAAAAAAAAGTGATTCAACTATTAACATGTCAGTCATTGAGAACTAAGAAGTTCTATATTATCTATGTATCTTTATGATCTTTGATATAATAAAGCTGGTTTTATATCTTCTGGGATATTTTTAGGTCAAGGCTGGCATGGTGAAACCCTCTGGCCTGGTGAAGCCAGTGTCCGTGACACGGATCGCTGGTCGCTACTTGGCCCACCAGGAGGGTCTGCCTAAGCTTCCAGTGCCACCACTGCAACAAACATGCGAACGCTATCTGGCTGCCCTGACGCCCATCGTGGACCCGGAGGAGCTGAATCACACCTGGCAGCTGCTGGAGGAGTTTCAGAAGCCGGGCGGTGTAGGAGAGAGACTACAGAAGGGCCTGGAACAACGAGCCAAGAAGATGGAGAACTGGGTAATAAACTTGTTAGGTGCCTTTTTTTAAAGGGCTTCTTCTTAGGTCTCATTCTCTCTCTATCGTTTCCACTGCTAGCTCTCTGACTGGTGGTTACAAACAGCCTACCTAGACTACCGGATGCCTGTTGTCGTCTATTCAAGTCCTGGGGTCGTCCTCCCCCGTATGGAGTTCAGTGACCGCCAAGGCCAAATGAGGTCAGACCAGTGTGGATTCATATACGAATAGTCAATTAAATTTAACATAGGTCATTTAGTTGGTCTATAATTGTTCTTTAGAACTAAAAGTGTGTTGTTATGTGCCTACAACGTTTTTAATAGAAACTGATTAAAGGCATACAATGAATTGTTTAAAATGTTTTATTTATATATTTATGTGTAAATATATTTTACTTAAAATCTAAGATATTTATATTTTAAAATATATGTACAGTATATGCATAGATAATTATGAAACCGATTAAAGGCATGCACTTTTAGTATTTTATGTATTTATTGATATATTTGACTTAAAAATATCAAATGTTTATATTTTAACATATAAATATATTTCATATGCATTATCCAGTCAATTATCTAAAAATCAACAAGCAAACTTTAGATAATAAATATAACAAAAATAGTTTTTAGATATATTTCATACATTAAGAATTTAGTTGATTTTTCTTAATATGTTGCCAAATAGTTTTTGTTGTTGTTGTTGTCTAAAGTATAAACCTTACAAAAGTTTGTTAAATGTATGCTTTAAAAAAAGGTTAAAAAATGTTTACCAGTGGGGTTAAAAATACTTATTATTTTTTGCATGTTTATATTATATTTATATTTATTTTATATTTTGACCTTGGTGTTGCTAGTGCCAGTTACAGGAACTTTGACACATTGTAAATATTATTCAACGGTCATTCACATGAATTACATCCACACGCAGTGACCCAGAGTGGCATTATTGCAGGGTGAGGCAGTTGTTTTCAGTTACCTCTATGGTGACCTTTATACAGACTAACCCTCTCTTGCAAAGTTGAGCTTTGCAATTCGGAGAGTACAAATTGTTGCTCTCAGTAAAGTGCTGGCCTAAAGCCAGTCTCCCCACATTAACTGTAATGACAGCTTTCACATATGTCTGCTAAAACTGGTCACAGATCAGCAGTAAGGTGTGTTCTGTCAATATCATAAGTCATACAGCACAGCAGGCTCCCTGTATTTATAGTAGAAGTATTCATTTGCAGTATGTTGATGTTAAACGTGTTTAAAATGACTGTAAGAAAGTAAAAGTATTTTTTCCTCACAGATATGCAGCAAAATTAATCGCTGGAGTTTTAGATTTCAAGAGCATGATTGACAAGTGAGTGATACATTTCTTACTTTTCCTGTGCAGTCATAAGTCATTCAGTCCTTTGTTTAGATAACCATGATTATTACTATTTGTTAAATTCATCATGTATAAAGTACAGATGGTCCAGTCAGATGTAATGTCTTTCCTTTTTGATTAGTGAAACATTGCCAGTGGAGTATCTGGGTGGAAAGTCACTGTGTATGAACCAGTACTATCAAGTGCTCTCGTCTTGCCGGATCCCTGGAACAAAGAGGGACAACGTGGTCAACTATGCCTTGGACAAGAGACCCCCCACACATATCACTGTAGTGCACAACTTTCAGGTCTGTCCATGTTAGAAAATATAATAGTCCCTGTCCCAAATGTAACTTCCAATGGTAGGTAAATTGGGGGACAAAAATGTATACATTATTTAAGAAATATAAAAAAATATGTTTTGCATTTCTTTTATTAAAAAAGACATTTAATGCATTTAATACATTTTCTTGCATCCAGGACTGTGATCTGTTAGTGCCATGCTAGAATCATACAACTTACTGTTTTATTGTTTGTTTGTTTTTTTCTCTCTCATTATGCAGTTCTTTGTGCTGGATGTATATAACAGTGATGGCACGCCACTGACCGTAGACCAGATCTACATACAGCTGGAGAAGATCTGGAGCTCCTCTTTACAGACCAACAAAGAGCCTATTGGCATCCTCACCTCCAACCACCGCAACAGCTGGGGCAAAGCTTACAACAACCTCATTAAGGGTAGGCACTGCCAACACTTAGCTAGACATATTCGTGTCTTCAGTGCTAGGAACTAAATCTTTGATAAGTAAGGGATAATGTACATCAACCGGCTGGATGTACATTATCCCGCTTATTACACGG